TGTGTGTGTGTGTGTGTGTGTGTGTGTGTGGTCATATGTGACAGTGTAATGAGGGACTGCATACTACACACAAAAAACACACCCTATCAACCTCTGTCAGAGGCTGCAAAGCACCGCTGCACCGAACAGTCCGCTCGCTTGAGTGTGTATGTGTGTGTGTGTGTGCCAGCACCAGCATGCCGGCTGCATGCAGGCAGATGTGGCTGTCACCTGTCAGCTCCATCATGTGCAGACACCCAGTGTTTAATCTTGCCCCCCCCCCCTTTTTTTTTGGTGAGTGCTGAGGAGACCTGGGAAATCAAAAGCTTATTCTGCAAAAGCTTATTTTTATCTGTTAAAGAGACGAAAATAAGAAAAATACAATAAACAAGCAAAATGTCCAGCCTTGTCAATATTGTCAGAACAAATTAAGAGTTATAAACTGATTCCAGTGAGTGAATGAGGTCGTGCCAGTTTTGTTGTAATTACTGAAGTGTTTCATTTACATTAGCTGCTTCCAGACATTTTGCTGAAATTTTCCTGAAGGGCTGCACATGCTTTCTGAAACTTTTTCTGCCAGGCCCCTTGTAAAATATTTGGGAAAATGTCAGAGTAAGGTCATGTGAGAATACAGCAGGAAAACTGAAGAAAACAAAAATACAAATACCTCGAGATGAAAAAGAGGAGCCATACACATAGAAGGAGCTGATGAAGATGTCGACTTGGAAAGACGAGGACATTTGAGAGCTTATAGTAATAAGAAATTACACAATGTTTCTGACATTTTCCTGATGGTGTGAACGTTTCGGACTTGGACAAAATCCTGCTCCGTTCTTTCTATGTGAAACTCTAGGAAATATCCAGACCCTCATAAATAATCCACTGACCTTTCACTATATAGCTTATACCCAACACACTGTCAACTTTGAAATGCAACTGAGAAACATTTGCACACACCTTGTGTTGATGCTGCTATAATTATCTGTGGGTTGTCTGCACTGCTCGTAACGGATACTTCATGCATCATAACATCTTTACTGTTTGACTGGGTGTGAGCAGAAAATTCAAGACAGGAGGGGATCGACAGCACCAGCAGAGAGAAGACGTTTATGAAGTGCAGTCATTTCTGTAGCATTACTCTCACTGGCTGTGGGAAGATGCATAATATTAGGATGAGATTAAGTTTCTCTCTTTCATACACTCAGAGAAAAAATACCGGCTGACACACTAAGTTTCTATGATACCCCGACCGCAGTCATCTGAACTCCTCTCTTATTTATTTATTTTCAAGAGCTCACTCGTGCACTCTTATTGGAACGCTGTGACTGTTATCTTGTTGTTACAACTGCGATAAAAACGTCTTGTTGTAATTTCTTAAGCGTGAGGTGGAGATTTCTTATTTAAAAAAATACCTCCAGCCCGCGCAGATGTCACCGAGATGTCTGCCAGCCACTTAGCCCGAGCCAACTCAAGTGATCTCAGTCAGCTGGATGATCAGTACGCGCTCCCACTCAGGTCGCCTCTTACATTTCGCTTGACTCAGACTGAAGGAAGCACGCTGCCTGGGATGAGTCAACAGGATCAGAAATGTGTTTTTAATTCACATCATTAGCATACATTAACTTTTTTGCACAAATCCTCAAAGTGTTTTCTTCTCTCAAAACCTTACAGCTGAGATCGACTCGCCTCGTGGCGTGATGAGAGAAAAGCATCGTTCAGTTTCCATTATTTATTAATACCTCTTTGTTGTTGCTCATGTCCTAATCTCATTTCCTTTAGTCATTAGTGTTGTTCGACATCAAACACAGCTGCCAGAGCAGTGAGTGCAGGCAGCGAGGGGGGGAGAGAAGTATGGTTATTGCAGTTGGACGCACTCTAAAGACCCTTTTAACAATGCATGTTGCAGCGGAATATTTCTCTTCTTCTATTAAGCTGTTTAAACTCTTTATTAGTAGTATATAGCAGCTTTGATGTGTTATGCATTGTGCCATCTCGTGCTTGCTGCCTCGGATAGAAACCGACCGGGGACGTGTCTTGGAAAAGGGATGTGTTGTGCGTATGTGACTTCTGTTGACCCCCTCCGACAATAACGTCCTCTGTCTCAGTCTCGCTGGGAGAGATTAGCAACACATGAACTTGCAGTCCCATGATGCTTTTTTCATTTGCTTCCTACCTATTCAGCACCATAACACTCTGCTATCACGGCATTGTGCCGAGATGCCGTCCGTCGCGCATTGTCATGCTAATGCATTGCCTTGTGTCTATAGCTGCAAGCTAATGCTATGTTATGCTAATGTTGTGTCATGCTAATGTCACGATGGTGGGAGAAATGGAGGGATGAAACCGTAACAATGCACATGGAGATTCCTCTTATATTAAAACTTTTGTTTGTTTCACTAAAGCTTTCTTTGGTTTTCATGCATTGAACACAACATTTTTGTGTTTCCCAGATTGACTTGTTATTCTGAAAGAAAATTATACAAAATAAAAATCACCCATTAAATTTCACAGTGCTCTGCTCGGCGCAGTTATTGATGTTATACATAAATATAGTTCTAGGCTGTTTTTAGAGGGGATGCATAACACAGAGTTTGAATTTACAGGCCATGCTGACATGAGCCTGAAAGGTTTTGTTTTGACTTGGACGTCTCAACAAAAGTGTTTTGTAAACATTTCCTGACTTTGACCTCAACTCAAACATTTATTGTGTGACGATAGAAACAAAGTAAAACCCTCAACATAAACAATCATCAAACTTCCAAAGCTGCCGTGCATATTAACAGACTGTTGATTGTCTTGTATGCTAGGTTAGATTTTTTTTTTAGATTTGAATGTCTGGTGATTTTAGAAACTCAATGTTATTTAAAAAAAATAAAAAAATAAAAAAATTCTGTCTGTGATAATGCCCTGAACTCATGTGTTCTCTCTCTGTTGGATGTTTTCACAGGATGACAGTGATGGGATCCCATGGTCGGAGGAGCGGGTGATGCGAAAGGTGCTTTACCTTTCCCTAAAGGAGTTTAGGAGTGCACAGAAAAGGCAGCTGGATGGCGATGGAACCACAAACTCCAATGGTGAGTTCATCCACATCCTGCACATGTACTCAACTGGACAGTTCTGAGTTTGTCAGTTCACACCTGACATTAGAAGGCATCGAATAAGATACGATCACATCTCACTTCCTTGCTCCATCTTCAAATGCTCTTGGATTTAATTTCTTCTTGCAAAAAACAAAACAATGCTTTTTTTATGCGGCCCGATTTCTCAGATGGATCTGTTGTTGATTTGCTCTTGTGTTATTCTGTGAGAGGACGAGGATGGGCTGAGTGAATCAATGTGCGATTATTTTACCAAAATGAAATCATAGAAAAACCCATAGGAAATCAATACCTGGTGGTATCGATATGTGGCAGTCAGTGTTAATATTGATTGTGGTGACCGCAAATAAATCAATGTATTGGCAGAGAGAAGTGTGAAAACATTTGAAACTGTGGTGGCTTAGAGTAGTTAGCTGAGCAGGCGGATCTCCGATGTGACCCAGCATGCATTGAGTTGACACTGCTATAAGAATATGGCAGCATATTTGATCCGATCTCAAATGCATCTAGCCTGCATTCATACAGTTCTTCCAGTTGTCCATTAGTGATCATATCACTTGAGATGGGTGTTAATCATGGCCTATGACATCATCTTCCCATCTGTTTGTTTGACTGGGTAAACATTGTTTTCTCCATTTTTCCACAGTATGATATCTTTGTTATTTTAGTGGATTAATTTTCACATTGTGAACGACAGGAAATAAAGAATCAAATTTCATTTAAAGGAAACATTCCCTTGTTTTTGTATTTAGCTGAAATAAGGACTTTGCAAACAGTGTCTCGTGAACAGCCCTACAGTAATGAAAGGCTTTCAACAAATGCAATAATTTGACATGTTGAAAACGTTCATGCTGTTAAGACAAAATGAAAGAAGCATGGGATTTGCTCCACTAGCATTTTGTGGACTAAATGTTGCCAATTCTGTCTGGCTTTGCTGAGGTTAGTGTCTCAGTTTAGCTTTTCATCCCCTTTATTGCGAGCGACAGTTTTATTAGTTTGTTTGCAAGTGAAAACTAAGCAAGTTTTCCTTTGCTCGGGGCAACCTGATCTCACTCACTTTACATAGAAGGAATCCAATGAGAACAAATGATCAAGGACCCTCCGTCGCCTTTTGTTGTGGGTCAGCGGGCTGCAGTCTTCTGGCTCCGCTTGTTCAGTGTCACATCCTCAAAGGGACCCTCAAACTGAAAGCGTTTCCCACTTGTTTCCAAATGTTTACACTTCGCACAGAGGGACTCTGATGAGGTCTTCCACAGTATCACGCACAAGAAAAACACGTGTGGACGCGATGTTAATCTTTTCCAGCTCTGGTGTTTCACTCTGGGATCCAGGCTCATTAAAACACAGACTAATAGAAACCCACCTGATATGAATTAATACTTGAAGTTGCTTAGATAGACAGAAATACAATTCCAGGTGGAAGTCGGCTCCAGGAACAGTTGAGGGATTTTGCGGTTGTAAACCTGAAACAACACGGGAAGAGTGAGAGCACAGGGGGAAAGATGAACGGCTTGTTTTGAACTGAGCTGCCATCGTGTCTTTTGTTTGACACCGGTGCTCCCACCCATAAAAAACCCTCAGCCAGCCAACAGCAGAGATTTGAACTTCACACGTGCCTCAGAAGCTATTCTCAGCTGACATTAACACAAACCAGACACTGGAAGAAAGGAAACAGGAGGAAAAAAGAGAGCCTCTGAAAGTTCACGCCCAGCCGAGGAAGCCAGCCAGTCACCCAGCGAGGCAGAGAGAGAGAGAGACAGGCAGACAGAGAGGAGGGAAATCTCTTTTGAAATGTATCTTACCTTTTT